TTTGATTGCTCTATACTTTCGAAAAAAATAAATGTGGGATTAATTAATATGTGTCATCTGTTTATTTTGTGGATTTCTGCAGAGGACATCAGCCTAACTGTTGGCTTGTTAAGCTAAAGGTAGATTGATACATGATACCATAATGATCGGTTCTTTATTTTATCAATCAGCTTTTTCAAACATCAAGTGCCTTTAAACATGCATTATGCAAGAGGTAAATCTGCCTATTGCAGGTCTTTCTTTAGTCCCGAAATGTTATATAAATGATTAATTAGACATTTTAATATTAACATGCAGAAAGACCATAATAAACTCCTGATGCCATCTTATGTGTCAGATTTTCATTGGATTTGAATCCGATCTGCTGTTCAACATCCAATGATGACTGAACGCAAAAATGGATAATCAAGACTTTGTTAACTATTGTGACAGCGGCAACAGTGACAATCGAGGCTACAGACATTTTAAAATAAGATTTTCTTGGCTTAGAGTTAAGCAGTTTGACTGAAATTTTCAGCATATTCAATTTACATCATGCAAAACTATTGTAAATCAAAAAAAATTATAAGATATCTCTCCATAAAATTTACACTTTATCCCAAAGGTTACCATTCCATCTGCTGCTGAAAATGAGGAACATTTTGGTAGCAATGCAATACTGTGAATATCATTGATGTAATGAACAGTGAGAAATATTAAAATACTGTTACCCCCCAAAATAATGCTGTTGTAAACATTTTGGTAGCAATGCAATACTGTGAATATCATTGATGTAATGAACAGTGAAAAATATTAAAATACTGTTAATCCAAAAATAGTGCTGTTGTAAACATACATATATTTATTTTGCATTTAGAAATAGCCCGAAAACAAATCAAAAACTAGAACTGTGATGACGAGTTTCACCGGTGCCCGCATTCTTTAGTGGACGTCACTTCCCGTACTAATACAGTTTAACAGTTTCCCATACGTGTTCAAAAATGAATGTGAAGTGTGAAAACCTTACAAAGTGACTAATTATGAATCGGCAGTCTTATTTCTTGGCCAAGGAATAAGTTTAAAATTAATTTCTGATATCAACATGGTTAAATATCTGTATACTGTTAGTTAAAGGAAGTTAGTAAATAGTATTAGTAAAGGGTAGCGAATAACCATCTTTAGAACAAATATTTGTTTTAAAAGATAAAAATCGTTCCTTTTTTCAAAATCGCGTCACTTCTGTTAATACTGGAAATTTTGGATTGATTGCATTAAATGGCGGTTGGTATACAGTATCAAATGTTAAAATGACTATTAAACTATCAATAAATGTGTTGTGGGTAAAACAACGTAAAAGCTACTCTTGTCCTTGAACAATTGCCTATTTCTTGGCAATGACTGAAGTTAGAAACTATCTTTTGATGTATATATGTTTACAAAAATACATTTTTTGCCACAATGACATCATTTTCGGTGACCAGTTGGTTACATCTAAGGAATATTCACAGAATGGTGCAAATTTTTATGAAAATCAAACAACCATTTATTCTTTTATGGGCAAAAAAGTTGAAAAGTGATTCCCACAAATTTGCCTATATCCTGGAAATTTAAAATGAATGATGGATTTCTGTTTGCTCTTGCTCTTAAACATGCCTTTGAAAATAGTTATGTTTCAGCCTTAAGATCCCAATTGCAGGAAAAAGAAATTCAAAAATTGGCTTCTAAATTTTAACCCCCCAAAAGTGTTCCAAAAAGGTAAAAAATGTATGTTTTCTTAGAATAACATTAATTCTGTGTCAGTTGGCTAATTATTACCCAGTTTATACGCTAAAGGCTAGATCTAGGACGGAAGATAATTCAATTAAATTTATGTTTAATGTGTATTGACAGCTGATCAGTACATATATGTTATCACGAAGTTTCAAGCAAAATTTTGAAAACTAACCCATTTTCTAAAAATGCCACATTCCCAAACTTTGCTCTCAAACAGAGCTATAAAGTCTCAGAAAACATAACTCTGAATCATTTTACCCGATACATTTATACAAATTTAAATAAGACCTAACCTTTTACACCAAATTACTTATTTCGGAGAGTTCGCATGGTTCTGACATGTGCCGACTTTTTAGAATAGTTTTAATCTTTAAGTCACTCCAAATTATCCAATAAGCAATAAACATTTTTGAGCGAAATAAGCAAGGTGGAAACAAAAAAAAAAACTACCAATCCAAACAAAAACAATATTGTTTCAAACAAGCTTCAAAGTGTGAAACCCTAATAAGTATTATTGTCGCGAAACAAACAGGCGATTCTTCTTCACTGGACATATCTAACCGAATGCACAACATTTGTAAGGTACATGTACCAGTCTTCCCTAATGCGATACGCAAGTGTTCCATGTAACGCACGCATAGTAGTAATGTTTATGTTCTGAGAAGGTGACAATGTCTAAATATGTGAAATTTACAAGAGAATACTGGATTTTATCGGACGTCTAAGTCATTTAGGCTAAGGGAAGAAATCAAAGGATAAAAATTCCAAGTATGTCACAAAGTTTTAGCCATTTTAATAAAAGAATGGCAAGCAATCTATGAGTCGGAGTATCACCTGGGGCAGACAGTAGTTTAGCAAAAAGGTCAACTCTTACATAATAAATCTTTAATGAAATGAAATGGGGTTAACATACTACTGCTCCGACTGGGCTAATGAAGACGGGAATGCGCCATACATTGTGCTATGATGGAAATTTTGCCCGGACAGCCACACTATGGCCTACTCTTATTTTAAATTCCAACTGCCAAGGGATGTTTTACGTGCATGCCAATGTATACACGGCACCTCGGTTTTTCGTCTCATCCGAATGACAAATAGTTGTCCTTGTCAGGCCCATCGTCCTGCACCACTGACAAGGGGAAACCACGTCAGAAAATCACGAACTTTCTCAGCCAATGCAGGGATCGAAAAAGTGACCTCCAGACTAGCGAACCAGCATCTTACCCACTTAACCACCGTGGCTCCCTCTTTAAGCGTTTACATTATTTTGCTGACATTACTAACAATGAAAGCAAGAACATTTGCAGATAGTGTATTTTCCCTTGAGAGATCTTTACATTTGTCATTTTCTTTTTTTTAAGTCTGATTTATGTATTTTTTGTGATGTATTTTTTGTTGGGTTTTTGGTGTGGGCGAAAAATCACACGGACTGCCCCAAGTGAGCAGTCTACTGTGTCAAGGCTGGCAACATGTAGGTTGAACTGTTATTAGTTATCACATGTGCAAGGTTTCATTTTAAATCACATCTGGTATATAATCTCATATAATATATACAAGGCCATACAAAAAAAAATATCCTGCTTCTCTCTCAGACAATTCTTTTCAATAATCTAAGGCAGGGGAGGGAAGGATATGCAGTGGCTCAGTGATTAAGGTGGTGGATTGCTAATCCTTTGGAATTTTTCTGGTGTCACCAGGCAATCCCTCTTGTCAGTGATGCACGATGGAGGGATTGACAAGAACAGTGCCTAGTTGTACAGATGAGAAAAAAAAAAACATCCTGTGTACATGTTGGGTGCATGTTAAAGGGACAATAACACTCTTGCTGGCTTGACAGTTCCAGAAAATAAATAATAGCCTTATTATAAGTACTAGATGTTTAAGTGTCCTACCTGTTGTGTAAATTATCCATTACATCCTATTTTACTTGTCCAGAGGGTTCGAAAATATTTTAAAATCCAAGTCACATTTGAAAAGGTTTACGTTAGGCTTTTCAAATCATTTAGTTAAATTTTTCCAATTTTTTAAATTAGGTGGGTTAAGATGAAATTTGTATCACCAATTAATTGGAATATTGTAAAATAGTACAATTTGTTGACCAGAATAAAGATTGGGACATATTATTCAGTTACAACAAGAGTGGTATTGAGCCTTTAAAGAACCACTGACAGTTGAAACCCCATTTCTCTCTCTCTCTCTCTCTCTCTTGTGACAGGGAGTAGCTTCGCCTGTCCAGCCTTGTGGGTTTTCTCTGTGACTTATTGTAACTGCGCCTCAAATGACCAAAAGTGCTAATCAAAAGTTGTTTTGATGAACAAAATTTTTATTCAAACTGTTTCAAACTGCTAATTGTTGACAAATATTTTCTTGTGTTGACTGATTGTAACTGCACCTTATATGACCAAAACTGCTAATAAAAAGTTGTTTTGGTGTGCAAAACTTTATTAAAACTGCCGTCTTCATTAGCCCAGTTTAGGAGCAAAACAGTAGGACGTTAAACCCCATTTCATTTCATTTATTAAAACTGTTTAAAACTGCTAACTAATCGTTCACAGTTACTTTCTTCCCTGGCTTTGACTGAGTTCAACGATGACCATTTTCTGTGTCTACGTAGGCTTAGCTATGTCACAAACGGGCCGGAGGGTTGGGTCGTCTGTCCAACCTTATGGGTTTTCTCTGGGTCCTCCTGTTTCCTCCCACTGTTAAAGACCCCTACGTGCAAGCGAATTATTGAAATAAAATTGAACCATCAGATATTAGTCCCAAAATGACCATGTTTGTGTCGAGTGGATGTTAAACCCCATTTCTCTCTCTCCCACAAATGGTCCTATTCTCACACCATCACATGGGGTTGGATGGCTGAATGGTTAGCACGTGCACGCTGTATCACAAGGTCTGTTATTGAGTCAACTGGCATGGTTTTGATTCCCTGGTTGTACGTGACAAGGAGTAGGGTCCAACCTCGTGGGTTTTCTCCGGGTCCTCCGGTTTCCTTCCACTGCTAAAGACTCCTACGCGCAAGCGAATTATTGAAATAAATTGAACCATATGTTAGTCCCAAAATGACCTAGTTTGTGTCGAGTGGACGGTAAACCCCATTTCTCTCTCTGTCTCCCTCTCTGTCGCTCTCTCATTTATCTGCGATACCACACTCGGTGGAAGCAGACTTTAAACCATAATAGAAGAAGACGAATATGAGAACCACAATATTTTTTTTATATGGCCTAATTACCCTTTTTATTTTCTAGAAATCAAATTAAAGGAATATGGCAGTGAATCAGTAGAAGTCTCAGATAATGGTTCTGGAGTGGAGCAGCAAAACTTTCATGGCCTCAGTAAGGAGACTATTTTAGTGATTTAATTTTCTGTTTAATGAGATTCTGTAATTAGATTTTTTATTATATAATCTCATAATTAGATACAAATTAGGGGGAAGGGCAGTCTAACAGGTGCCCTTTAGATCATAAGGTCTACCATTGAGTCAAGTGGCATGGTTTTGATTCCCATCTCTTGTACGTGACAAAATGTCAAGTGGCATGGTTTCGATTCCCAGCTTGTATCTGACAAGGAGTAGAGGTCAATATTTTAGTTCAGAAATGACCAAGTTTGTGTTGGGTGGAGTGTGGAGGTTAAGCTCCATATCTTTCTTTCTAGATATAAAGCTTATTTTGACCTTTGAAGAAACAAGGGGACTATATCAGGCCTGGAAATAACCAGGGCTGTCGGTAATTTTTCACAGTTGATTAGCAGCACTGCTAATCAAAAAGTCCAATTTTGCCAAATTTGATTAGCAAATTTAAAAATTGATTAGCAGTTTTTCAGTTTCAATGTAAAACACCTAAATACCAAGATATTACTTTAATTCATAACAAATATGATTAGATTCCATTCTGACTATTCTTAGATTTTTTTAGCACTGCCACAAGTACTTGTGACAGTTTGTAAATGTGATGTAGACATTTAGTTAGGTCTTATGTCTGAAGCCAATTCTTGACAGTGACTTCCGAAGCCCCACTCATTTTAATTGTTATTTTTTTGTTACGTTAGAAATCTTCGTTAGAAAACGATCTCGTCTGCTTTTTATCGTGTATTACTATTTTTGTTCAATAGGGCGCACCTCGATTAACTAGACACACGCGATATAAACAATAATATTTTACGGGAATTTTTACTTTGATTTATCATTTTACAATACGTTAACATGTATTTATTTTTTTATATTTTATTTACAATAAGTGCGATACACTGGAGTTATTTATTTCAAAATGAATATGATATAATTACTTAATGTCTCGCAACGTGAGTGCGACTACTTGATTCCCTATTTCCGGTTTAATAGTCCCTATTCATAGAGTTATGTCCCTGTGTTATATAGTATTGTGTCTGGGTAAGTCGAGAAGAAAATGTCACACGAAGAATTCAGTTTTGTTTATAAAATTTTATTCAACATTTTATACATGTTGAAAGTGTTGAGTAAGCCTTCTAGTCTTCAAAATGTGGATTATTCTTGTGACAATATCCAAAATGACAGGCACATTAATGATTCGCAGTAACTGCGAATCAAAAACGTCAGATTTTAATTTTTGGTTAGCAACGGACGAAATATGTATCGCAAATTGCGCTGCGATACTGGTTGTCGGCAGCCCTGGAAATAACGGTTTTAGATGTACCTGACAAAATGTCAGGCACTAATGAAATGGTACCTTACATTTTCAACTTAGTGCTGGACATGTATTAATAATATCAATTAAAAAAACAAATCACTGCCTGACAAAATTACGGGCACCAGAGGTTTTGTGCCTGACAAAGTCTTAATCCATGCCTGACATTGTCTGTGACAGGTGCATTATTTCCAGGCTTGGGGACTATTAATTCAAATTTGTCTGCCCTTGTCTTTATCTTTCTGTCGGTCCATCCGACTGTCAACCCTTTTGTAACGCAATAACTATGCTGCTATTTGAGGTAGAATATTCAAATTTGGTGTAGATGTTTGTTAGATAAATGCCTTGACCTGGGAGCGAAATAACCAGGTTCGCATCTCACTTTGCGATCCATTTCCGACGTCACTATGAGTCGATAGAAAAATTGATTGGCAAAATTTTAGTTGGGAATCTATAAAGTTGGGAATCATTTTTATACGCCCACACAGAAATGTGGACGTATATTGCCGTCGCCCCCGTTCGTCCATCGTCCACAATTTCTTGTGAACGCTCTAACGCCAAAAGTTATCATCCAATTGTTTTAAAATTGACATATATGTTGTTTACATTTGTGAGATGAAGAAGCCTATTTAATTTCAATAATTTCCGTTTATAATGTCTAGAGTTATGGCCCTTGTTTCACTTTGTTGAAACTTGTGAACCCTCTAATGCCAAAAGTTAACATCCGATCTTTGTGAAATTTATATGCAATATTTAAATTAGGGAAACGAAGAAGCCTATTGAATTTCAGCAATTTCTGTTTATTACTTCTAGAGTTATGTTCCTTGTTTCACTTTGTTTAACCTTGTGAACGCTCTAACCCCAAAAGTTATCATCCTATCTTTCTGAAATTTATATGCATTATTTAAATTAGTGAAACGAAGAAGCCTATTGAATTTCAGCAATTTCTGTGTATTATGTCTAGAGTTATGGCTCTTGTTTCACTTTATTGAACCTTGTGAATGCTCCAACGCCAAAAGTTATCATCCGATCTTTCTGAAATGTATATGCATTATTTAGATTAGTGAAACGAAGAAGCTTATTGAATTTCAGCAATTTCTGTTTTTTACGTCTAGAGTTATGGCCCGTGTTTCACTTTATTGAACTTTGTGAATGCTCTAACATCAAAAGTTATCTGCCGATCTGTATGAAATTTACATGCGTCATATTAAATTAGTAAAGAGAAGAATCCTATTGAATTTCAGGAATTTCTGTTTATTACTTCTAGAGTTATTGCCCTTGTTTCACTTTGTTCAACCTTGTTAATACTCGATGGATGAAAGTTATAATCCGATATCTATGAAATTTATATGCATTATTTAAATTTGTGAAACGAAAACCCTGTCAAATTTCAACAATTTCTGTAGATTACTTCCAGAGTTGAGACCCTTGTTTCAATTTGTAGAGCCTTGTGAACCCTCAAACGTCAAAAATTATAATTTGATCTGTATGGAACTGTCTTGTAAAGGCCCCCAATTACCTACAAAGGAATAAATATGCGACAACCCTTGTCGACCCGCTCAGACAATTTAGCTGCTGTGGGCGTATGTTTCGCTGCCTGGCAACCTACCTTTATCAGATATACAGTGCACTCTGTCACATCCGACATCTGATCACTCCGGCACTCTGTTACATCCGACACCATTTTCATGTCCCGATTTATTTCCTTATTACTTCAGCCAAAAAATCTCTGTGTAATTCGACCTCTGTACGTTCCGGGTTACGACATCAATCAGCCATCCCGTCATACGATTTCCATTGAATCGACACCGTATAATCCGGCCTTCAATCGGTGGGTGTGAAGCAAACACTTACCGATCAATTATCCGTGAGATTAAAACCAGATGGGTGTGAAGCCACAAAAGATTAACAAGCAATCACCAATCAATTATCTGTGAGATTAAAACTCGCTACCATGGGTCGTTGTTGATTACTTTGATAATTTTAATCTCTTGTACGACAGTTGTGACAAATACTCAAGAATATCCACAAATTTTCCCCCGAATTCACAGTCGTAAAAATATTCCTAGCACCTGTTGGAAACATTTGTTGTGCATGCCGATTGAACCTGAATAACCTCTATAAGTTTGGTCACTCTACGGATCTCTTCGAACCGTGTGACGACGACCTGGGGCTGCTTGATTCACAGTCCGGAACGTCCCGAATTAACAGAATTGCAATCGAGTGATGCGGAATTCAGTCCTGTCACAGTTCTGTCAATCCCGACGACGGAGGTGGTGTGAGTAGAATTGTGACGTAATTAAACACGACGAACAGGTTTCGGCTGCATGGTTGGATGAGATATTTATATATCCAGTCGACGCATGCGTTGTAGCCCGAAGTACCCATTTTCACTCGAATGTCGCTATTTTTGGGATTGAGAGAATTCGATTCCGGAACGTTCAATCCAGTACGCCCATTATCAATAAACAAGTGATAGTAAAGACAAGAGTGCGATCAACTGAAGACGGCGAAGAAGATAAATTAACGACAGACTTGACCTATTCAAAATGCCTACGCATGTTAAATGAAAAAAAAATTAATGTAATCAAATTTTGAATGTACAGAAAAGTTTATCATTTTTTAAAGGGGATAACATTCTGGTGATTCGAAGTTTTATGTTCAAAGCTACATTATAATAATACTTCCGGTTTTCGTAGTTACAATATTTCCGGTTTTGAGAAAACTGAGTATTCCGACACTCTGCGTAATCCGACATATTGTAACGATCCCGTCGGATGTGACAGAGTGCACTTTAGTTCCATTTATTTCAACATTTAGTTTGCTTAAAAGTTCAAATCCCTCTCAAAACATTTTAATTGCAAGGAACTACCCAAAGCTGTAAACATCTATTTTAAGCAGCCTTGTTTGACACGCGAGGTAGGATCCATTTTCAGCTTGTATTTGTCTTTAATGGCCGCCCATTTACTATAAACATCGAAGCCTAAATAAATTCTAGGATTATCCTCTGCCATCTTTCGTTTAATCTCCGAGTCTGTTACTGTTCTCAGTCTCACAAATGTTAACCATTCTGTTATGATCAGCATGTACCAAGCATTCCCTGTGCACACTACATCACTCAAGCAGACAAGAAAGCAGGCAGCTTACCAGTTAGTTGTACCCTTACATTTTTGTCCTGTGCATGCCCCGTGGGTGTGTTTCAGGGAATTTGGTATTTTTCTAGTAAAATTGGGTGTTTCAATTTTCCATTTATACCCAAATTGCCATACTTTTATTGGAAAAAATTTAGCATAGTTTTATTGGAAAAAAAATTACCCTAGAACTAGAAGCACTTTCGTGGGATTGTATCTTTAACATGAGTATTATAAGAAAATATGTTTGTAGGCCTACATGATGGTTTTTTTTTTTCAGCCTTGAAGCATCACACATCTAAATTACAAGATTTTTCTGATTTAGTTAATGTAGAAACGTTTGGTTTCCGTGGAGAGGCGTTAAGTTCTTTATGTGCGTTAAGGTAAATATTCAATTGTTTTTACACCCATGTTACCGTTGCTCTCCACTGTTGTACTCTGAAAGGGGGGGGGGCCAAATGGTTAGCGCGTGCACATTGTATCATAAGGCCTGTCATTGAGTCAACTGACTTGGTTTCGATTCCCCGTTAATACATGACAAGGAGTTGGGTCGTCTGTCCAACCTCATGGGTTTTCTCCAGGTCCTCCGGTTTCCACCCACTGCTAATTGAACCATATGTTAGTCCCGAAATGACCTAGTTTGTGTCGAGTGGACCTTAAATCCCATCTACCCTTGCACAGTTATCGAACCGTTTGATGGCTCTGGCTACAATAGTTATCATCCCATCTGCATGAAATAGATATTAATTAGTAAGTCTAAACCAGACGTCAGAATTGAAATGAAATAGGGTTTAGCATCGGCAGCACCTGGGCTAAGTAAGATGGGGATACACTATGCCATGTGCTATGGAAAATTTTTCCCAGACAGTGGTGTTTTTGCCTTCTCTTCATTGAATTCCAAATATTAATGGTTCGTCTACTGTCGACGGTGCTACCACCTTCGACGGTTCTTTTACTTAAACATACATTATGCAAGAGCTAAATCTGCCTATTGCAGATCTTTCTTTAGGCCTAAAATGTTTTCTAAATTATTAATTCGACATTAATTAACTGATCCAGGCCATAATCAATTCTCGATGGCATCAGATTTCTCCGATATTAAATAGATTAGAACGTTTCAGCTCTATTTTAATTTAATTTAAAAATCGAAGGAGGGAGTCTTAGCTTCGAACAACCAGTACGGTGGCTGCAATTATTACAAACGTCTTGTCAAACATTCAAAGGCTAATATCTTTGCTCACAATAGAGTAATTGGAATGAAATTTTCAAATTATTCATTTTATATTATCTATTTTCGAACTATAATAGCAAGAATGGCTAGCTCTTTATCTAAATCTTACATAATGTATCTTTAAGGCTCTTGGTTGGTCAAATGTTGTAACACATGCACTTTAGATCGTATGGCTTGTCACTGAGTTAAGTGACATGGTTTTGATTCTTCGCTTGTACATGACAAGGGTTAGGGTCACCTTCCCAACCTTGTGAGTTTTCTCCGGTTTCCTCCACTGCTAAAGAGCCCTACGCGCAAGCGAATTACTGAATAATAATTGAACGATATGCTAATCCTGATATGACCTAATTTAGTAATAGCTCTCTCTCTCTTTCAGAACATGTTAGCCATTTTAGTTACTTTCTATCTTTTGTAGTAATTTAACTGTTATAACGTGTCATACCAAGTCTGCTGTCGGAACCAAATTAGAATATGATAATCATGGAAACATAACCAGCCAATCACCATGTCCGAGGCAGACAGGAACAACCATCTGCCTACAAAATTTATTTCACACCCTTCCAGTTCGCCACAAAGAATTTCTGCGTAATTTAAAGAAAGAGTTTGCGAAGATGATTCAGTTGTTAAATGCCTACTGTTTGATTAATACAGGAGTTCGTATTCACTGTACCAACCAGATAGGAAAAGGGTAATATAGCTTTTATTTTTATGACCAATCTTAAAGGACAATATTGGTGTCAGTCATTATCACATATGTGATAGAAATGGTTTAACACGTTCCAAATATAATTTTAACACAGAGATCATTGCTACGATAGATGCGTAATCAAGGTTTCAACAATCGGAAGTGACAAACGCAAAAGGAAAACACAACTGACTGACACTAATATTGTCCTTTAAAAATAATATCAGGGGCAATGAAATACAGTAAACTTTGCAAAAGTCGGATCGAAGTGGACTGACCCATTTTATCCGAGTTATGCGAAGATCCGAGTTAGCCGAAGACCGAAATTCAATCTTAGCTCAATTAGAAATAAACTGCAAGAGCTGGATAATAATAGATTCAAAGGCACATTTCAAGCTTTTGTTCATATGTGCGAGTAGATAACTTCAGTTTTGGTGCAAGTAGATAACTTCCGTTAGATAACTTTGAAAAATATGCTAAATTTTTTCCCTGAAAGTGTCTCGTAGGGCAGACAGCGTGTTTATTTTTTTTTCGGGAAAATTCTATTATTGCTTCGCATCAAATAGGCTGATTTGTGTCAAAATGATAGGGGAAAGTATTTTGGGACTCTGTGCATGGAATACCTAACCACGTTTTAGACCATCAGGACGAAACTGACTTAGTCAAATTCTGAACATACTGCCGATCCAACTTTGGCGAAGGAAAAAAGCCGGAATTAGATCAAATAGACCAAACATTTTGATCCGATTTACGCGCAGAAATTTAATGAGAAAAACATGCAGGATCAAAGGATCCCAACAATTTTATCCTAGTTGAGCGAAGATCCGGCTTATACGAATCCTACTTATGTGAAGTTTACTGTAAATTGAATGGGGTTTTGACAACCGAGTTGTTTGCAAAAACCATGCCGTGTGGTATGTGGAAAATTTTACCTGGAAAACAGCATTTCTGCCAACATCCAATGTTTATTGGCCCATCCTAAGGACTAGACACTGTTCCTTGACAGGCCCTCTGTCCTGCACTACTAAAAAGGGGAAATCATGCTGGAAAATTTTGAGGAACTTTCTCTGCCAAGACCGGGATCAAATCCTGTTTCACTCTCTCTCTCTCTCGTTACAAAGCCTGTGATGTTTGCAGGTCAACTGTCCATGGGAGACAACTCTCTTTACTGCATCAAATATTTTCATGAAGATTGGTTGTCAGATGTCAAACTTTATTTATTGGTTTAAAGTACATGGCTAGAACACAGTATTTATTATAGTGTTGTTGAGACATTAGCCATTCATTGTATAGTAGGATATTTGTGTTTTTAGTACATGTATGCTATAAGGATAATTTTGCCAAGATGTGAGACCATGTGTACCACACTACTGAGTCCAACCATATTTTCATGCAAACATGTTTTCAATCTTCTCGTCAATACTAATGAACTAAGGGACACAACTCTTATGTGAAAACACAGTTCTATTAGATTGCCAAGTTAGGGGTTTTGACTGAATAGAATGTGTGATGGCAATCTGCTGATATATCCACCAGTTTTTTACCTAGGAAGCTGAAATTTGGCAATTGGATGTTTTAGACCATTGACGTTAACCTATATTTTTTTGAGAGGGTGGATTTCATGATTTCCTAAAAATTGGTGCACTTGACATGGAATGACCCAATACAACTTTATCCCTTTAGCACTTGGTAAATATAAATACAGACTGTCCCAGTGTTGTGTTGGGATCACTACCTTCGATATGCCTTCTATATATCAGCACGTGGATGGATGGTCATATTCATATCTCAAACCCCCCTATATATTAAAACAAGACATTCTCGTGATATGACCACACTTCGAAGTATGTGCATCTTTTATTAACTTCAATATATATTACAGAGAAGAGTGGGCAGATAACTCCCATCTCACGTGACTTATATTACAATAATGATCATCCAGTAAAGGATCAATACGACACCAGGTCTTTGAATAAAATTGGTGAAAGTGATATGGTCCATACTCATAAATACTGATCTTTTAGAGGCATTTAGTAACTGGATAGAGCAATAAACTATAACACATACTTATGGAAGAACAATTACTGATTTATTTGGGCGACGTTTCGAAGAGTATTCTCTCAACGTTTTCAAGCTTGAAAACGTTGAGAGAATACTCTTCGAAACGTCGCCCAAATAAATCAGTAATTGTTCTTCCATAAGTATGTGTTATAGTTTATTACTCATAAATACCTTTACAGGCCGAACCCACTGCAGGTGGTCTAAGGAACCTGATGCACTTGCAATTTCCGGTGTTAATGTTTTGTATTTCAGATCTCCATCAGTGGTATTACAACTTTAAGCCTTGTGTTTCAGGTCTTGATTTGTAGTCGTAGCAACAATAGTAATACAACTTTAAGCCTTGTGTTTCAGATCTTGATTCATAGTCGTAGCAGTAAGTGGTAATACAGTTTTAAGCCTTGTGTTTCAGATCTTGATCCGTAGTAATACAACTTTAAGCCCCGTGTTTCAGATCTTGATCCATAGTCATAGCAACAAGTATAAATACAACTTAAAGCCTTGTGTTTCAGATCTTGATCGTAGATGTACAACTTTTAAGTTTTATATTTCAGATCTCGGTCCGAAGTCGTAGCAACAAGTGGTAATACAACTTTAATTTTATGCTTCAGATCTCGGTCTGTAGTAGTAGCAACAAGTGGTAATACAACTTTAAGTTTTATGTTTAAGATCTCGGTCTCTAGTAGTAGCAACAAGTGGTAATACAACTTTAAGTTTTATGTTTCAGATCTTGGTCCGTAGTAGTAGCAACAAGTGGTAATACAACTTTAAGTTTTATATTTCAGATCTCAGTCTGTAGTAGCAGCAACAACTGGTAATATAACTTAAAGTTTTATGTTTCAGATCTCGATCTGTAGTCGTAGCAACAAGTGGTAATACAACTTTAAGAGAGAATATCATCAATATCTTTGGTGCAAAACAGGTAAAAGCAACATATTTACTTGGGGGATCACGTGGCTAAGTGTGTGAGACGCTGGCTCACTAGCCTGGAGGTCGGGTGTTCGGTCCCTGCATTGGCCAAGAAAGTTCATCCAGATTTTCAGGTGTGGTTTACCCTTGTCAGTGATGCAGGACGGAGGGCCTGACATGGACAGCTGTCTAATTGTTCGGATGGGACGGAAAATCAAGGTCGCATGTACACATTGGCATGCACATATAAGAGTTTGGAATTCGATATAAGAGTAGGCCATAGTGCCGCTGTCCGGACATATTTCCCTCATAGCACACTGTATGGCGTATGCCCGTCTTCATTAGCCCAGTTTAGGAGCAGAACAGTAGGACATAAAACCCCATTTCATTTCACATATTTACTTTCTTGGAGTGGTAAAATATTTTACCTAAAATCTTCCTTGTTCATTAACTTGGGAGCTGCAGTGGCTCAGTGAGTAAGATACTGGCTCCCTCGCTAACCAGGATGTCTAGGGTTTCGCTCCAGGTGTTGGCCGAGAAAGCTTCTCAGGATTTTCAGCGCAGTTCCCCCATGTCAGTGGTGCAGGTAAGAGGGCCTGGGAAGAAAAGAGTTTAGTCATTAGGATGGTGCGAAAAACCTAGGCCCTGTGTACACATTGGCGTGTACGTAAAACAACCCTTGACAGTTGAAATCTGAAGTTAGAGTAGGCTGTAACACTGATGTCTGGGTAAAATTTATCTCATAGCACACTGTATGACGTATGCCCGTCTTATTAGAGAACTCTCATTTCAGTCATATTTGGGGAGATGTCATATTTGGAGAGAGAGAGAGAGAGAGCTCTAATTTTAGTCATATTTGGGGAAAATACTCTCATATCAGTCATATTTGGAGAGAGAACTCTCATTTCAGTTATATTTGGAGAGAGAACTCTCATTTCAGTCATATTTGGAGAGAGAACTCTCATTTCAGTCATATTTGGAGAGAAAACTCTCATTTCAGTCATATTTGGAGAGAAAACTCTCATTTCAGTCCTCTCATTTCAGTCATATTTGGAGAGAAAACTCTCATTTCAGTCATATTTGTAGAGAAAACTCTCATTTCAGTCATATTTGGAGAGAAAACTCTCATTTCAGTCATATTTGGAGAGAAAACTCTCATTTCAGTCATATTTGGAGAGAAAACTCTCATTTCAGTCATATTTGGAGAGAGAGAGAGAGAGAGAGCTGTCGTTACAGTGATAGTCACTTAAATATTATGTTAAAATGGATAATCAAGACTTTGGTTGTTTTTTTTGTTATTTGATGTGAAGCATTGGGACAATAAGAGGATGACTCCTTTTGATTACAAAATGTGGATGTATCTTGCATGGCAGCCACTTGTTGAACTATATATTATAGCAAGAACAACCAGCTCTTTGTCTAAATCTTACATCTTTAATGAACCAAGTAATTAGTCTGTTTATCAAGACCATTGTAATACATACCTTATGAATCAAAGTAATTAAGGTATTTTATTTATCGGCACCATATCTCAAGGGGATGAATATATATGGCTGCCAGTCTTTAGATTCTTATTATTGATATCCCAATAGAGTGATAATTGACTGACACTATAAACCTCAGATTGCCTCGTTCGGCATTTTTGTCCAAACGTGACAAATATTTATTGACTGGAATATTTATTGAATGGATTTTTTTATGAACAAAGATCTATGGATTTGTAGTTTTCTAGATGTAGATTTGTGTTTTGAATCCATGTAAATTGTAACGGGGACAGTAAACAATTCGATTACACTACTATGGTATTTTTTTTTATAGGGTATTAAGTTACATATAGGTCCTATTTATATTAGCATATCGTCACATATCTGTATTATGATACTGCTTGTAAGTATTCATATATCAGCCATCGCATTTTGCATAACTTCAGTGGCATATGCTATTCAAAACTCAAAGTCAGTGTTTCATATATTATACACAGTTTTTAAGGTCATGCGGCGATGAAGCTTATAGATTTTCAGTGATTTGCTATAAATACTGCCAGAGTTATGGCCCTTGATCACTTTGAAGAATCTTGTGGAAACTCTAGAGGCTAAAGTTAATATCCGATCGACTTTAAATTTATACACAGTGTTTAAGGTCATGAGGCGATGCAGTTTATTGATATTCAGCAATTTCCGATAATTATTGCCAGAGTTATGGCCCTTGATCACTTCAGAATATCTTGTTGATGCTCTAGAAGCTAAAGATAGTATTCGATTGACTTTAAATTTATGCACAGTGTTTAAGGTCATGAGACGAAGAATCCTATTGATTTTCAACGATTTCTGATAATTACTGCCAAAGTTATGGCCCTTGATCACTTTGAAAAATCTTGTGACTGTCTAGAAACTATAGTTATCATCCAATTGACTTCAGATTGATACACAGAGTTTACGGTCTTGAGATGAACAAGTATATTGATTTTCAATGGATTTTGATAACTTGAACAGCTAAATCTATGATATTAAATGTTTCGTATACTAAACGTTAGCATGGTGCAGAACTTTATAAGAAACAAACAAATTCTAATGGTTTTCTGATAATTACTTAACAAGTTGTTACCCTTAATCAGATTTTAATGTATTAATAAATGTTTCATTACCGAAAAAAGTAAAAGTATGTGACAACTCTTGTTGACTGCCCGGACGATATAGCTGCTGTGGGTGTATGTTTCGTTGCCTGGCAACCTATCTTTTATACTTTATATGGCCTACACTACAGGAAGATCTGACTGGTTGTTGCGATAGGTCATGTCAGAGGTCATATGAGTGGCAAGTGAGTCTATGACGTCTGACATTTGATTAACCAATCAGCATTAGTGTTACTAGTGGATTACCCACAGTTCCTTGCAAAACCAGCCTAACACTTGCCGTAACAGACCGTTTCATTGGCTAATACCTCACACTATTCAGAACACATCAATGATAACAACTCTTCCAGATTCAAGTGTAGTAAAGACAAGTAAAACAAAATTTTGAACTATAAAAAAAAAAAACGAAATAGGATCTGTGTTTCAATCAGATTGTCCGGTTCATGGCTATACGCGTGATAGACCGGGTCAACCAGGTCAACCGTTAGTTTGTAATTATTTTATATTGTTTTTATTGACCAGACATAATGGATTTCTTCACCTTGATATAAGTCCGATGTTAATAATTAAGATATATATTGATTGAATATATATATATCTGCACCGTTAAATTCTGTATTCATGTACATACCACTGTAATCCGGGTATCATTTAAAGGGACAATAACACTCTTGCTGGCTTGATAGCTCCAGAAAATAAAAAAATTGCCTTATTCTTAGTACAAGATGTGTTAGTGTCCTACCTGTTGTGTAAATTATCCATTACATCCTATTTTACTTGTCCAGAGGGTTCGAAAATATTTTTAAATCAAAGTTTCATTTGAAAAGGTTTACGTTAGACGTTTCAAACCATTATGTTGAATTTTTCAAAATTTTTAAATAAGGTGTTTTAAGATGAAATTTGTATCATCAATTAATTGAAATATTCTAAAATAGTACAATTTGTTGACCAGAATAAAGATTGGGACATATTATTCTGTTACAACAAGAGTGGTATTGAGCCTTTAAAGATACATTATAGGAGATTTTAATAAAGAGTTGGCCATTCTTGCTATAACAGTTCAAAAATAGATGATGAAAGAAGAATATATTGAAAATTACTTTATTCTGAACAAAGTTATCACCATTGTAATTTTTGACAAGAAATAGGAGTCTCCGAGAATGGCCGATCGTTTGATTGACAGGCGTTAACTCCACCTACATAATCTCAAATATCAAGTAACGTTTTCTATGGCTGTGGTACCTTTTAGCCTATTCGGTTTGACACGGGGTTGCAATTCAATTCGTATCACATTTATTTTTACTACAAATTAAAAATAAGACTTTTAATATATAGATAAGAAGCAAAAGTTTGAAAGGAATGGACCAAATTAATCAGGCATAATTATAGCCGACTTCTTGTTAGCCTGCGTGTACTCTTGTACTGTCTTGTACTGTAACTGCTAGGCCTACTCCCGAAGCAGACAAATAGGAAACCGATCCAATGGGGCTGAAATTCAACTGGGGTGATGTTAGCTGCGATGTTTATCAATTTCCATAATTTCTCTATAAACGCAAGTGACAAAAGAGCGTATAATACCGACATCCAAACTCTCATTTTAACCACAACTAAACATAATATCAAGGCCGTATATATCAAACTTTCAAGCAGATTGACTGACATGCGGCCTCGCTCAACAGCGGCCTCGTTTCGTACACTCTATCATTTAGCCTCGATCTAAAATTTCCGGGAGTATGGCGTCAACGTAACGGTTAATCTCCGCTTACGACGCCATTTAAAAATTTAATCAATCAATGAAATCCTGTTTAAATCCAAGCCGAATCCAAGCCATCCGTGCGTCTACAGAGTTGGTTTTGTGCTTGTTGTGTAAATAAAGGTCTAATTTATAATTTCTATGACATCTGAAGCCTAAATAAAGACTTGCAATAATTAGATTTAGCTCTTGCATAATGTATGTTTAATCTTGTGTATTTAGCACTAATTTGTTTAAAAATCATTTAAAATCACCTAATTTGTACTTGTGTCCAGTTTAAAGCTGACCATTCAATTTTGATAAGAGTGTCCAGTTTACAAACATTTAATTTCTTGATCACTGTTTAAAAATAAACAAACCAATCAATTATTGATGTATAATGATAAATTTTTGAACGGTGGTCAGGAAATTAAATACTTGTAAATTGAACACTCATTATCAAAATTAATCAGCCAGCTTTAAACTGGACACAAGTACAAATTAGATGATTTTAGGTGATTTTAAATGATTTTTACAAAGTTTTAAACCAAGCTTTGATATTAAACGAATGTGAAAGAATTTAGTTCAAGATACACAAGATTAAATGATATCCATGTTACAGTGATATTACTAATACTATTAGCAACAA